AAAAACGATGATTTCTGTCTTGTAGTAATAGCTAATTATCCTATTGAGGCCAAGGTTTTTCAAACTGTTTTCTACCTCCTCATCCAGAAATCAACCAGCGTGGGAAGTTTTAAGCCACAACTTTCCAAGGCCACGATCTAACCAGAGAGTAAGAGAGATTCTAAGTTTGGGTAATGGGAAGATTCCTGCTCATTGTGTTTACTCAGACAGGTCTGGGAAGGTGTTGATTCTCCCTTTTGTCAGACAGGTGATGTGGAAACTGGTAAGTCTCTTTGGCCAAGACTTGAGGGATCCGAGTCACATACCCCAAGACTCTCATTTTAATGTAGCCCACCTCCCATTATAATATTCATTCTTCTCTCTTTACTTGTCAACCAATCAGAGTTGATTGCTGCCCTCAGGGACACCTACTCTCCCAAGGGCATGTAAAATGTGAGCCCATCTCCATGAGGGGTCTTTGGCATTCAAGAGGGCCACTGACCTTTTTTTTTTTTTTAATAAATATGCAAGCCTAAAATCATTTAATTACCCATAAACTCTGTCTCTTGAACTTTTAAAACACCACAGTTTATAGTGAACCACAAAGGGACTTTAGAGGAAAACAGACAGGTCTGACTTAAGGTCTCCTAGCAAAACACAAGACAGTATTTGAGAAGGTTTTAGTCTGGTGCCTGGCACATAGTAGGACCCTAATGAATGATTATTCCCTTCCCTCAAGCTGTTCATGGGGGTCTGATCTCAGAGACTGATCTTGCTCATTCTCCCCAGGGCTGAGTTCCTAAAGGAGTCTCCAAATCAGACTTGCCTTGGCCATCCTTCCTCAGAGGTGTGCACCCAGAGTCTCTCCAAGTCTGAGGTTCTCCAGCCTCACCTTCTCCCCTGACAATCTCACGGAGACACCAACATTCGATTACCCACCCGTGAGTATGTTTCTTTCTTTGCCTCTTATTCCCTGCTGGAACAATATCTCAAAAGCCTTTCTTCCCAGATGGACCTTACCCACTCTCACCAGGCCTGAGCTCCTTAGAGCCAGTTCCTTCAAGAAATTGACTTTGACCATTCTCCCCAGATCTGAGCCTCCAGTAGGTATCTCCTCCCAGACACTGAGGTTGTCCATTTCAGCCTAAGCACCACAAAAGTTTCAACGGACTGATTATTTAAGTGCAGGAGAAAACAACAAAAGCAAAATGCAGTCCCATATATAGAAGTACCCGGGACACACATAGAAAACAGGCTTAATTCTCCTTCTGCAATTTTGGGAAGCAGTCTTTATGGCTTGGCTGGGTTTTCCCCTTCAAAATATCTAAGGTGCGTATAGCCTCGTGCACACAGGAGAATTTCTCAAGTGCAAGGCCCAGTCTTTCCAACCTTACTGTCGCTCCTTTTGTGGTTGCCAGATTTGGCATGGGAAAATATCCCCTCTTTTGAGTTTATCTGGAGTTTCCTACTGCCAAAATAAATTTACCACAACAATAGAGGCCAAAACCTAGGTTTCATTATGCTGAAACAAAGGTTTAGCAGGTAGAAAAATAATCATGAGCAAAAATTAGGATTCTAAAGAGGCTTATTATAGACAAAATTATGCCAGAGTCAAAGATAAGTAATTCTTTTACAAATTGCAGTCTTGTACATTCTTTTATGTTGTAAAGGTTTTTTTTTTTTTAAAAGACAGATTCCTAATCCCATGTTTTCTTCAATGTCCTAGAAGTTGAAAAAACTTAGTTAAACAGAATTATAATCTCATCCTTTCTACTGACCAAGAACCACAAGGGACAGGTACCTCCTAGTAAAATATGCCCTCCAAGATATGTAAATCACGGGGCCATAGGGCATTTGTTGAAGCATAGTAACACAAATATCGTCTGCCCTACATAACAGGTTCTAGAAATCTTTTGAGTTTATGAAAACAATTGAAACCATTTTGACAAACAGCTACCCCATTATGGTGATGAGAGGCCACGTCCCTGCAGACAACACAAACTGATCTAGATAGGTGTAGCATAGGGAGTGGAGGAAAATAAGGAATTGATCGAGTTCCATGAACAAAAGAATTTTCAGTCATTGTTGTCAGTGGTGGAGCAGAAGCCAAAGTAGGAGACTGAAAAGGAGGTTTCGAAGTTCAAGTGACTGCAGGCTCAGGAGTAGGTGGGTTTGGAATCATTTGTGAAGAGGGTGATGATGACGAAGGTGTTGTGCATACTCGTCCCATTTCATACAGTAGTTCAGTCTCTGAAACATTCTCTGATGCAGTCCTGTGGTCCTCTGGTGATCTCTCTTAGGGATACTGGAGTGAGTGGGGCTTCAGAGCAGCTTCTAATGGATTTGCTCCTCCAGTTCAGGTCACTTGCAGAGATCCCCTTCTCTGTTAAAAAATCTCTGACAGAATAGGTCTTAATGCAATTCTAGTTTGCTATGACAGTAACCAGGTTAGGTAGTGAGAGTAAGCTCAAACCTTAATAGCACTAATAGAAACATCACTAGACTAGAGAATTTACATTTTTACATTAGCAAATTCAAGTAACAACTGAGAAATTTAAAAGTTCTGAACCCAAACTTTATATTTGGCATATGTAATTACCTAATCTTATTTCAACTATTTATGAAAACCAACTAAAGATTATCTCTCTAGTTGTTTCCTAGCTATTTTCTTTTAGCTGCTCATCCCTCCACTTGGAGGATGACATTCTGGAAGGGAACTATTAACCGAAAATTTGTTTTACAGTGATGACCCCTGATACACAACTGAATTCATTTAAAAGCTGCCAAAATAATTGCAATTGTCAGAAAAAGTTGTGGGATGGGATGTATAAATACATTGAGTAGTCAATTTCAAGACAGTATAGATCAGATAAGTTATTTATAATAAAACATGATTGCCTGTCAAAGCATGCTCAACATTCAGGTGGTTATAATAAACCCAAATAAAATTGGCTTTTCCTATTTTGGTAACACGAGATATTCTATCGTTTTTTGTTTGGTTTTTTTTTTTTTGTTGTTAACCAAAACTAAGGATATTTCTATTTTAGGCTTCGTAATTTGTAGAACAGCAGTTTGGACCCATAAACTGTTCTATCAATACCCAGTTATCCTCTCATTCATTTTAGGAAGGACAATGATTTCAGGCTAAATGGCTCAGATTTTATCTCCAGTATTAATCTATGATTAATATCCTTAGTAGGACTTAATATTATATTTATGCTGATAACCTGCAATGATTATAGAAATTTGCCATAGAAAAAAATAGAGACATTAAGGGAAACATGCTTCCCTGCTTTCATGTCAATTCCAGAATAGAGTCATATAGATAGTCAGTTTTATTGAGCCAGGCTTTAAAAGGGGGAATATTTTCCATTTAAGAGGAAATGTTACACTGGGGAAATCGAGTCAGGAGAATCCTACCTCATCTCATGCCAAGAGACATTTTCCCAGCCTTTCCCATGAGAACTTCAACTGTAATTCATGGATGTCAATAGGGTTATTGGCCTGATAGGATTCCTTGATGATCATACCTGGAATCAGACTCAGAGTATTATCAATTACAGTTCTGCAAGGTCTTACAGTAAGTTATAATAATCATAGCTTCATAAATTTAGGTGGATTCAGCTATTAAGGATCACATATCCTTGATGTAGATGAAAAAAGTTCAAGGTATTTAATTTTATATTTCTAAAACAAAAAAATGTTCTCAGGTTAGCTTTGAAGGGGCTTCTTCCTTCTAGATCTGCTTCTTGACACAAACTCAGCATAAAATAGAGCTATAAGAAGAATTAGTATATTAAAAATATACAATTCACCTAAAACTTCAAAGAATTTTAATTGTTGCATCATGGGAAATAAGTCTTTTTCTTAGTATTATTAGATAGCTGTTTCAAACAGTTTTTCACATCTAAAATTCTTAATCCAATTTTGAGAATTGTGCCATATATTTCACTTAGTGATATTTCCCACTAATCACATTATCATGATGAAAGAATGTCATAGAGTGGTCTCTTATGAACTAAATAATCCACCAATTGTAAGGCTTCCTGGTCTCTATTATTTGATTCAAATGACAATTCAAAATGGTCCCTCACTAACATATTAATCAAAAATCACCGGTAAGGTTTATCTTCTTTTACACTTGCCCTTATCACTGGAATTTGCTAGTTGAGGAGAAAGGCAGCGACATAGCAGCATTAGTTCCGTTTGATTTCAGGTATGAGTCAGGCAGCTCAGAATGAACCAGGTGGGAAAATGTCTTACTTACCAAGATAGGGATAGG